CAGCTTTTGTAGTTTATCGGAAATTTTTTTTAATATATTAAGAGTCTTTTTAATACAGTTAATAACATAAAAATACCTTTAATCACTTCAAAAAAACATAAAATAAAGAAAAATTAGATATCAAATAAACATTATCAAGCAAGATGCAATATCAGTAAAATTATATTTCCAAAAATATTTTCTGATTAATTAAATTTTTGGTACATTAACTTTAGATAATATAGATTGTTTATATTAAAATTATAAAATTTTACTGAAATAAGTTTTGAATTAATTTTTTAAAAAAACTATTTTTTAAACAAATATTTGTTAAATTATATAAAAAATTCTAAATTTAGATATATAGTTCTAATTTATTTAAAATAAATTTTTATAAATTTCCCTTAAATTTATTTTCTCTGTTTTAAATATTAAGATTTTAATTATTTATTTATCAATATAATACTTATTAATAAGATTAACATCCTTAGAAATTATTATATAGATTTTTGGCTTTCAATTGTTAATTATTATCAATCTACAAACTATTTTTCTTACCATTTTGTAAAATGTAGTTAGTCAATAATTCAATAATTAAACTACATTTTTAAAAGTTTAATTTTTTTTTTAAAAACAATCAGTCGTTACATTTTTCTCCAAAAATATTTGTTTGTTATACCTTCACTCCTTGATATTCAAAATAAGGAAATTCACTTTACTTTAAAGTACAGATATTTATTATTTTTTTTTTCCAGATATTAATCTATAAAAGGATATTAAAATGCAATATTATAATTATAAGATAAAGTTATCAATAAAATGTTTAAATAAATAGTTTTATTATGATTGTTTTCATTTATCCAATTTATTGAAAGTTACGCCTTTACTAAATTTTTTCTTTCTAAAAAAAATATCAATTTTTCATAAAATGAATATTCTCACTTTCCTCAACAACTTGTTAATAAATTAATAAAAAAATTGATTAAGTATATTATTTTTTCTTACTTTTTTGCATAATTAAAGAATATTTGATCTGAATATGACAACAGAGATTTTTTGCTTAGATTAAATAAAAATTCATTAGGTAAGGAAAAATTTAAAGTAGTTTTTACCTAAGGAATATAAATATTATTCGGTAAATACAGTATTTATTAAATTTTCTTGTCCTCGTTTAAATAATGCAGTTAGAAAGGGAATTAATCTCAAACTAATTCACTTCTTTCTTTAAATAAATTATGTTATTATCTTAGTTTTTATGTCATTTATATTGAGTCCTAAAATTTCTCTTTCAATTTGTAATATATATTTAAATTTAAAAATTAATTTTATTAAAATATATTTAAAAAAATAAAAAATAAATGGATTATAAAAAAAAATTAAGAATTCCAACAATTAACTTATTTAATATACTAATGAAATTTCAAATATTTAAGAAATAATTTGCATTTTTATTCAATACGAATAATTTTGAACTTGTTAATTGATAAATTAATTTCTTCAAAATATTTATATTTGATTTAAATTTTTGAATATATAATAATTTATTTTAGAAATTCATCTAAAATACAAGCGCATTCATTTTAATAGTACCTTGTATATCAAGTTCCACTAGAGCAAAAATTATTTGATTTATCTCAAATTTAAAATAATTGCTAAAAATATATATTTTTATTTAGTATTATATATCTCTTTATCCAATATATTTATATAGTTTAGTTTTCTACACAATTTTAACTTATATAAATTACAAACTGAGATATCTAGTTATACATATCGATTTACAATAACAGGGAAATTATTATATAAATTTATCTACCAGAATTTTATTGTATACTAAAAATAATTTTTCTGTAACAAATCTTTTCTATTGTTGGCTAAAATTAAATACTATAAGTAGGTAAAATCTATTTCAAATCTATATTTTTAATATATGTTTTATCTATGGTAAAAATACATAATGCATAAACATAGTAAATATATACTTCAATCGTACATAATCATAAATTAAAGATTTAATTACAAAACGTAAAAAGAACTGATTGTTTTTTTATATTACTTTGAATTCCTCGCATCAATAAGGATCCAGGATTCAGATTGAAGATGGAAAATAACAATATTTGCAAAATAATTACTCTTTGTTAGCTTATATTTTGTTGCAACTATACTAAGTTGTATTGCTAAACAGTTACAACAACTAACTAAAAGTACAAGGTAATAAAACATCTTTGAACTAAAAGAAATATCTTTTTTACTTAGACCCCTCCTCCCTTCTCTTCTCAAAATTTTAACCTTAATTCCTGGCCATATATTAAAAATTTTAAATCATATTTACTTTCAGGATCAAACATATATGCCCCTTAAAAAAATTTTTTGAAAAATATTCGTTTTTAATTTTCTAATAAAAATATAGGATTTTACCTTGCTGACCTTTAATGAAATATAAGAAGCTATTAAAAATTTGATAATTTTTTTTTGGAATGTTTCGCAAGTCTTTAAAATATACTTGACATCATAATCATGTGTTTTTAGCAAATTTTTAAAACTTAAATCATTTAATTTTGCACCTTTTTTTAAATAATTTTGCCTTAAAATTTAACGAAATGCCAAGGTTTGTTTCAATACCAAATAATTTTCCTAAAATTAGCTAAACTACATTTCTAGATAAGAAAATATATAACTTTATAATGTAAAAGGTATTATTTTTATATAGCCATATTCTTAACATTTATGTTTTCATAAAAATTGAAAATTTAGCCCATAAAGCTCTGATAGCTTGTGTTAAGAACCTTTTCACGGGGCTTCAATCTGAAAAAAATAAATAATAATAGCATTTTTGATATTTTAAAAAGATATTTTTGTTGTCAATTTGAAAAGATCAAAAAATTTATTAAAATGCTATTGGAATTAGATAATAGTCATCAAATATTAGAGATATGAATATTTATTTATACTTTATAAATGATATTTCATTTTGCAACACAGAATTTTGGTTGCAATTATATGTTAATATATATATAATGAAATTGAAATCTTTGCACATATAAAATGTAGAATCAAATGGTAATTAAGAATAACATTTTTTATAAATTAAAATAAAAATGTTTGTGATTAGAATTCTAATAGTTTTTACAATAAATTTTAAGAGTTTTTAAGTAATACATTTTTTTAAATTAATTAAATATACCCATTTCATTATTGATTCCTGAATCTTGAGCGAATGCCATAAAATCTAAAAATTTATTAAGCAAATATAAATGTTACTTTAATGAAAAGAAATAACCTTCATTGAAAGCAGGATTATTGTCCACTTAATTAAATTGGTTTAAAAAATATTATATTTAATTACTTTTTTATTATTTAAAATATAAGTCTTATTCGCTATGAAGATAATCATATATACCTTGGTAGGGAAGATATGGATTTTTCACTAATGATTATTTATATATAATATATATCAAACAAATATATTAATTTTTAATAGAAAAATAGCTTTGTTTTACTCAAATATATTTTTCTTGGTAACTTTTGAGAGTCTATGCTATATTTTTTTTATCCTTTTTTCAAATAGTATATGGCACAGACGCTATAACACATACCACATTTCTACATAGATACCTTTTTCAAAGCACATATTAAAAACTTTCAAATACAAATAAAGTCACGTAACGTGCCAACTGGATTGAAAAAGTATATTAGATATTTGATAAACAATAAAGATTCCTATAATAATTTAAGTTCAGTCAATGTTGTCTAAAAAAAATAGAGTGTTCCTAAATTTTTTATATATATTCCTAATTAATTATTTGTTAAGTTTTTTACAATAATATTTTTTTATAATAACAATTATTTCCCCCATTTAATTCTGAGGTTTATCATTTTATTTTTAAATTACTTTCCATTTATGTGTTTTCTTTAATCTTAAGAATGTTTTTAGTAATATTTATATGTCCATAATAACCATTTAGAATCTTAGTGTATCATCCCTGAAAAGTTCAAAATGTTTAGTAAATGCAATTATTTTGGATCAAATTAACATAGCTTTCTTAATTTTAAAAACTTTTCTTTATTAAATTTTTCGCCAAATTAATTTTAATTTATTATTTGTGCCATTATTTTTCCTATAAAAAGGGACAAAAATTTTATGTTTATCATATATATGTTTTTTTTATAGGAGGTATACTATTAATCATTGATAATTAAATTTTTTGACTGATATAAAAATTTTATTAAAAAATTTATGAACGTTATTTTATTAAAAAAGCATTAGTCAAGGAGGAAAAAAATGAAATCTTAGAAACAATCGTGTGAAATTTCTACAATTAATCTAATTATAGCAACGTTAGTCAAGTTAATCATAGCAGAAAATTAGCTAACGTAGACCAAAGATATCTAGAACTACGAATATATTTATCATGATGTCTTCTTCCCAGGATAAAGTAGTAACCAAGACGCATGAATTTCATGAAGTCACGTTCGGTTATGGTTGGAAAAAATATTTTTAAAAAGAACCTAAGATTTTTCTATTGGTAATAAGTCAGTAAAAATCTATTATTTTGATCACCTTATTGCCCAGTTAATAAATATGTGGATGTACTTCTCGTCTAAATACCCACTTATTATTAAATTTTAGAACTAATCTTTCCAGAAGTTATGCCAAGATAATTTTTCTTTGCCTTATAATTGTAAAAAATGTAAGAAGGCTCAAAACTGTAAGAATGTAAGGAAGCCCAATAATTCTGAATTAAATATTTTATTTCTTTCTGAATTTTACAACATAAAAAAAAATAATCAATAATCGCCGATTTATACAAAATATAATTTATTTCTCTTTAACATTATTTTTTTATCAATTATTTTTTATATAATAAATAAAAATATTTATTATAATACAACAATACTTTGATAAGTGGTTGGTAAAAAGGATTGAGTAATTTATGCATACATTCGCTAATATTGGCACAAACCAGATATTTAGTCCTTCTATATTATTTATACTGTATAATGCCAATTTCGGATATTTCTTTTTATTATACTAACAACTTTTCTTCTTTATACTGTCTAACAAAATGATTTGGATATTCTACAATTAAACATAAACATAAATATTTTCAGAATAAATGTTTTCAATCGCATTATAACGATAAGTAGACCAGAATCTTATTGATATTATTTTCCTTTTATACAAGTTTCTATATTAGTTAAGTTTCTAAATATAATTATATAAATTTTTTTATGTAAAAAAGACATTTTTGACAAAAAGTGAAAATAATCTAAGTCTCGGGAGACAAAATATTAAATATTTGAACCTACCATACATATCTCTCAACAATTATCGAATATGAATGGTCACTTTATTGATTATTTTTGTTTAAAGCCTTAAAGATTGATTGGATAATTTAAATTAAACATCATACATCCAGACGAGATCGGATAAGAATTTATCACTTTCTAATCTGATGGAACGGCTGTTAAATTCTGAACAGTTGCTAAAATTTTCTTAATTTTAGAAATGCTTATATAGAACTACATAATTTAAAATTTCTTATATAAAATCTGCGAAGCACCCATTTAGTGCGTCGCTAGGGGGGGGGGAGGTAAAAGCAGGGGCTCGAGCCCCCTGAAAAATTTGAATAGCCCCTTGAAGCAAATTTTTTTTTAATGGCTCCTTAATATCCCCTTGAACTAAAAATAAATTTTTTTGATTGCCCACTGAATGATTTCGTTTATAATTCTATTGAGTATTATAGAGATTTAATATAATTTAAAAATTAATAAGTCTTATAAATTATTCTTAAATGAATACTATTTTAATTATTAGATTATTTTAATACTTATAAATTATATTTTCACTATATCAGCTTGCAATCAAATTCTGTGTTAAAAATAGAATATTAATATCACTCACTAAATATTTATTTAGCATTAACAGTTGAAGACTAAATATTTATTTAGCATTAACAGTTGAAGCTTTATTGACTTTTATTATTTAAATTATTATATAACCCTAATTAAATAAATATTAATTGAAAATTAACAAATTTAATATTGTAATTAGCCGAGATCAAAATCACTAATCAAATATATTGTTGATATTTAAATTTAATTATCATGTCTCTTCTTAAAATTTTTCAAGGTCCAAATCCAAATAAGTATAAGAGATTTATTTATAAAAAGTAAGTAAATATAAAGTAAGTAAATATATAGTTTATTATCCTATTAGATATAATTGGTTATAAAAGATTGTTAAATATCAATTTTACAGACGTATTTGACAGTTATATAATATATTACAGTTAATATTTTAATAAAATTTACTAATAATTGATAATAAATATAAATAATAAATTTCTTTCAAATATTTAACGCCATCTATTTATTTAGAATTTTTAAAAAATTTAACATCTTATTATTTATTTCAGAATGGATGTAAACTACAATAATGTATAAAATCTTAATTAATTTCTTTTATCATATCATATCACTCTGGTTCTTATTTTTACAAAATGTTTCATTTCTAATATAGCATCCCTGCCTTGTAAATAACTTAAGGCTTCATACATTTGCATAATTTCTTTTAAAGATTTTTAGTGCTTTTATTTTATCAATTTATCTAGCATAATGAATTCTGATATAAGTTAATATTGTGAGTGACATGGGTATGACTGCAAAAGCATATATTATTTGTGTGGCTATGTAATTTAAGATTATTATTACACCTGCTGAGAGCATATGATTGCATATTTTATAAGCAATAGTGGTCAACTGTGTAGTTGTTTATATATCATTAAAAATGGAAGATAATCTTTTAAAAATTTAATATCTCACAATTTTTTATTCAATTACTTATCTAGCTTCCCATCGTGTCTTTTAAGAGAACCTCTAACCACCACATAGACGTAGCCAAGGGGAAATCCTCCCCTTATGAAATTTATCACCTTTTGTAAATATTTTAGCTAATAAAAATTATACACCTTAGTCCTCCCCCCACTCCATGACCTTAAAAATGTATGCATATATCTTAAACAATAATTTGAAAGAAAGAATGCAAAAGTTGATATTTTTTTATAAAACTATTCATCATAATTTATACATTTTTGGAAAAATAAATTTATAAATATATAAAATGAACCAGAAATGTTTTTTAATAAATGGAATATAAGCCAAAGATAAGTCTTGACAAAAGTGAAATGTATTATAAATATTAATAATAAATCAATAAAATTACTAAATAATATAATATATCAAATATAATTATTTATAAAGTGAGTAATTTTAATTTATATAACTTAATAAAAATAAAATATATTATTAAAACTATTGATGAAATTAAATCATAAATTAAATAAAAATATTAAAACACAATACAAATAGTGGAATATTATATGTCTTAGATTTACGGTATATCTAATTTTATCAATAATCATATGACAATCAAGTAATTTTTACCAATATAGAAAATTATATATTTTACAAAAACTATAAAATATTAATAAGGAAATCAGAAAATATCTTTAAAGACATTTTGAAATGAATAAATATTAAATTTAATATCATTTTTTCTTAAACTAAATAGATGGCGTTAAATAATTGAATGCAAATTGTTGCTACATTTATTATCAAGAGCATTGTTTAGTAAAATTTGTTAAATTATTAACTGTAATATATTCTCTAACTGTCAAATATGTCTGTAAAAGTGGAATTTTACCTAGTATATTGTAACTAATTCTATATAATAGAGGAATATCAACTATATGTCTATTTACTTTTTATAAATAAATTTCTTATAATTGTTTGGAATAAATTATTACCATGCTTTTATATTAATCTATATACAAATAATTTATTATATTTTATATAAACTAATAAAAATATATTTATATTTGTTCCAGGCTTATTTTTTTTAATTAAAATTTGTAAAAATATTTTATGACTATATATAGACTAAGGTAACGCGGCCCAAGGCCGGGCAAAAGCGGGCCGAAACCCCATCAAAGGGTGTCTGGGGGCGAAGCCCCCACTATTTTTTAATCCTCCCCCTTAGGAAAATCATGGCTACGCTTATGAACCACCATATAGTTTTATGGTTTGGATTGGTCGTTTATATTCTCTTCTCCAAGAATTGTTGATTTGGTTAGGCCCATAAATTTTTCCTTATTAGTCTATTCTATAAAACATTGTCTAAAAATGATAACAGAGTGTTATATTAGTTTCTTGACCTTTTGTCAATGTAAGTTGCTAATTATATTATATGTAGTTTTTAAAAACTATTTTTAATTGAGGCATGTATGAATTAATTAAGCTTTTTTTATCTATCACTTGTAATTCTTTAGACGCAAAATTTATATCAGCAACCAAAATATTTTATACTGTAATAAATAGATTTTGTATTATAAAATAATAATTTTAGAAATGTCTTATATTGTTTTAAGTATTTATATGCTAGTTTATTTTGTATGCATATAATAAATGACAAAATATGAAATTCATAATAATTATTCAGAGTTAGCAAATTTGTAAAATGTATTATATTAATATAAAACCCAGCCGAAGGATGGGAAAAAGCGGGTCGAAGGCCCGCAAATAGGAGGTATGGAGGGCGAAGCCCCCATAAAATTTTTTTTAGTTGAGCCCCCTGAGATTGTAAAGGCTAGTAACGCCCCTGCAATCATTGTACATCAAGTACCCTTTACAATCTTCAGCAACAAAATACTCAATTCAGATGTTACTTGATTCTACACCTTTTGATTTTGTGTTATGGCTATATAATATGTATTGTGTCAATAATGGGGTTTAAAGTGAATAAAACACTCTTTATTTCATTGGCCACCGCTAATTTAAACAATGATAGAGTATGATCTTCGATAATTACCTTCACATTAAAGTAACTTACAAAAAAATGCAACTAGTAAAAATTATTTTTCTTCTATCGTTAAAAGAATGACATGGGAATCAGAGATTTTAGGATTTAATCAGCAAAATTTGTTGAGGGGTCGCTAGTTATTTTAATAGTATTACTTCTAAACTTTAAGTTAGTTTTGTTAAACGGCGCGATTTCATAAGATTTTATAAACGGCTATATTATTTTATCTAAGGTAAATATTACAAAACTCTGAAGATTCACAACGATTTTGTAAATATTTTTCTGGCTAATATATTGAATTAATCATATTAGGCTCTTATCGAGCCATTTAGCATATTGCATTGGCGATTTGAACTCTCATATACTTTATCTAGATGATGGGGTTAGGTTATTAAGATTTTATATCTAAGTCTAAGCCCTATCTCGACAGTTTCTGCCTTAACTCTGGATTCTATTAAAAAATATTGTAAAAGTTTAATTATTACCTTCTATTTCTTGCAAAAATTTCTCAAAAGATTCTGTTTAAAATAAAGTATAAAAAAAATAAATTTATTTATTTGTATTTAAATTGATAAAAATTATTTACCCAGACTTGGTTTAGTAAAAATTCGTTTTTCTAAATTATATATTAATTTATTTATTATAAATAAAGATAACTGTTAAAAATTTGGATATATATAATTTATAAATATACTTTTCCATATAGATTCGTGGTGGAATATAAATCTAACGTAAAATTGTTTCATTTCTGGAGTTTTATACGCGATTATATAAGTTATATTCCTACGTGCTATATAATTTTTTTTTAAATATTAAAATTTAATATTTCGATAAAGGAAGTCAATAAAAATCTATAGAATGATAAATATATATATTTAATTTTTGACATTCAACTTATACATTTCATTTTATTAACCTGTGTAACATTTTTTTATGGTGTTTAAATTATTATTTATTAAAATCTAGATTTGGGGAAATATCTTAAGTGTGTTCCTAATAAACATTCCTAAATTAGGAGTATATTTTTCCCGATTTTATCTTTCTATATGGGAGACCGGGCTTATATTATGTATAATATATTGAAGTACTAATAGACAAAGCAAAATTTTTCAAAAATATCTAAAAGTAGCACATATATCTCTACTATGGAAATTTCGTATTTTTTATTAATATTCAAATTAAAAAATGAAAATTTAGGAAAAATGAAAAGTACCCGAGGTACACCCTTTCCATTGCGTATCATAACACTTATTTATTTTTAGATTTAGACAAAAAAAATTTTTTAGATAAAAATGTTAATCCTAATCCTAAGTAAATAAAATGAAAATTAATTGTCAAATTTGATAAATTATTAGGCTCATCTATATTATATGTGTCACAAGGAGAAATTTGGTGCCACTTAAAACTGTCATATAATTTACAAAAATAAGTCAATCTATTCAAATTGTCATTCGTGGCTTCTAATGTTGTAATAAATATAGTTCGAATTTTTTAATTCAAAATAATCTCTTCCTAAAATTTGCCAATAAGCACCCCCCAGCCAAAACCTATTACAGGTCTTCATATTTAATTAAAATTTAAATTCAAAATAAATTAAACATAAATATTTTCAATATTTTTATATATATGATATTGAGAATATTTTATCATTTAGAATTGATATTAAGTCTGAGTAACTTTTATATAAAAAATTTATTAGTAAAAATGTAAAAAAATTAATATGCAATAATTGTTGAAAAATAATTTGTAAACAAACCTTCACTTTCATTTGATTTATGACGATAAATTATTATAAATACAGATATTTTGTAATTGAATTTCGGAATTTTCGCATTTTTGAGAGTTTCTAAGAAACATAAAAATATTTATTTTAATAACTTATAGACGCTTAATAAAATTAAATCAATATATTACAAATAATAATCACATCCTAATTTTGTTTTTTTTATTAATTTCTTAAATAATTTTTATAGAATGTTAAAAAATATTTCTATGTTAATACCTAAAGGTTTATATTTTTATTAAAATCGCACCCATAATCCATATAATGCAATTAATATATATTCTGTTATTTTTTATCTGATGTATTTCTTCAATATAAAATCTATAGTCATGTAGTAACCTCCTTAGATTTAAGTGAAAATAGGTGTATGTAGTGGTACTGTTTATGAGTATATCATTTACAAATTTTTTTCGATCTAGCCCAAAGATTATTACTCCATAACTCAAATATTAACAAGGATCCTAGATAAATTACTAACGTCGCTAAACATCTCACATTGATTTAATTGAAAAAATTAAAATTATTAAACTTAGAGCTGGAATAAAAAGGTTTGCTCTAGGAAGGACTCTTTTTTATATAAAAAAAACCATATTTTTATTTTCCTTTCATTTTTACTAAGCAACATTTTATTTCTCTATTTTAATATGAACCTAAAAAAAATAAAGTGGTTTATAAATATTATTAAAGAAAATGTGTAGGGATGGATCAATTATTTAAGTATGTTGCAAATAATATTAATGAATTTCTAAAATATGCATGTCCTGGTTATTAAATATGAATATTCTATCGTAACTCTTAAAATTTTAAATTGATTTGGCTTATTTTAAGACATAAAAAATATTTAAAGTAGCAGCCGAAATGCGTTCTTACATAAGCTTTGCTCAATAAAATCTCTATAATCTTTATGTAAATTCATCATTTTATGATATTTGATGTCATTTCTACAATAATCATTTACATTAGGTTTGTTCCCAAAGCGCTTTATTATTAGGTGTGTTTACGAAACACTTTATAAAATAAACAGATTTAATAAAGCCAATTGAATATTTGTGTTCTGATTTTTATATTAGTATTACAATACTTTTGGGACTACTTCAATTTTAAACGTTTCGGCTTATGAGTTGGAATATACTTCTGTTTATTTTTTAATATAAAAGACTTGATTATAATAAGGGATAATTCGTATACTCTTTATCAATAAGTTTTAAATTTTTTTGCATCAGCAAGAGGAAAATCTTTTCAGATTTCATTCTTTGGATGAATAAAGGTCCATTTTATACAATTAGTTTTTTTTCGCAGTAGGCACTATATAATAAAGACTATTAAATAGAGAAGCAAATCGGCCAGAAGGATTGAAGAAGATAGTATTGAATTAAATTTTTCTCATTTATAGAGGAGACTCTACTAAATTTATCCTTATATTAGTCAGTAATCATATCAATAAGGCAATTTTAAATTTAATTATGATAAATATTTCAAACTTACTCTTAAATATCAAGACATTTTTTTGAGAGAGATCAAGTTTCATCATTCCATTTACTGTTCCCCCATTTTCTTTATAAAAATAAAATAATCTAAAATATTATTAGAAAAGATAATATCATGAGCAGCGTCTACATGAATGGGAGGGGTAGGAACAGTTTGCATCCTAATTTTTTTGAGGGGGTAGGGGTAAGCTGCTAATAGGGTAGGATAAATTTTTTTTTGGGGGGGGGGGGGGGTTATCTATTAAATTTTGAGATGAAATAAGACAAAATTTATTGCTGCAAAAATTAATACTTTTATTATAGTATTATTATAATACAATTCATCGACCAAATCTATATATTGCAAACAATCATACACATTGTTTTCCAAATTAACTATCCTTTTAAATATAATTTAAAAGGTATAGATATTTCAGCAAGCTCATGATGCCATAATAATTAATTCATTGTAAATAATGGAGGTTTTAATTAAATTTATTATCTAAAAAATAAATTCTTTATATTCACAAAATATCGATAGTTGGTAGTAGAGATAGATTAATTTAAGTTATCCTTTATAAATTATTTGAAAAGAATATCAATAAATAAATAGGTGAAAATAATAATAAAGAGACATCGCCGGCGAAGGCGGCGGTAATTATTTAGGGGGGTAGGTAAAGGTTTTTGAAGGGACTTTGCATCCAGTGAAAATCCTGTCATGTAGACGCTGATCATGAGACTTATTGGTTTGTATATGATTAGGGTATATTTGAGATAAATATAAATAATATATTGTCAATATTTTAAATTTTTTTGAAATATGAAGGGTCATATCTCCGCCCGTAGGTCCTGATCTAGGATATATGAAAATTAATACATATCAATGGAACACTACCATTAGTTTCATTTGAATATAGCCTACACGAAAAACTCAGAAAATTTGTAGATTTTATATTGAATTGAGGACATATACTTTTAGGTCAAAAATATTATTTAATAAAATGCAATTTTAGCCTGATTTCTATGAAAAAAATCATATCAAATATTTTTTTAAAAAGATCAACTTAAAAACATTTCTATTTAAAGCAAAACATAAGAATTAATATTTTAAATCAGATAATATTTAATATCCACAGCAAAATAATTATTTTTTTCATACAAATAGATTATAGTGAAGCGAATTTTTAATTATAGCTTTTGAATTATTATACCATTAAGTTTTTTAGGAAACACCATTATACTTAGGCTCGGTTTATTTTTGTAAGTTGATCTATTGATGAATATTATGGAATCGTTACCTATTTATAATATTATATGATAAGATTAGCGGAAAATATTTGCCTATTTTAATTTCGTAGAGGAATAAAAAATTTATTTTAAACATGCTATTTATATTTTATTTAATCACAAACTATTTAAAATATCATTCATCTTAATGATATTTAATTTATTAGATTATTTCAAAAAAAATATTCAAATTATTGAATATAATTAGTATGGCTAAATACCAAGATTATATGATCTATTTAAAAAGAACGACTGAATCAAGATTATAGCCAAAATAATTTTGTATGCCATTGAAATTTTAGGAAAAGATGGCAAAATTATTTGGTCCTCTCTTAACGAAATCTTGATATTGTAGGATTCAATTTATTTATGTTTGTTAAATATAATATACCCAATGTACTAATATAGGTTATTTATTTATACATCAATGACAAAATTGTCTAATACGTATAATATCTTATGCTGTTATAAGCTATTTTAAAAAAGTGCCTAGCATTACTTTTAAGTTACTCTAAAAATTAATAACTTTTTTCAAAAAAAACGAATTATCTTAGTGTAAAAAATATAAGAATTTAAATAATAATTTAAAATAGAGAGGTATAAAAAAGTTAGGAGAAATTGTATTAGACATTTTAATTAAACATCTTCAGGGATTTGCTTTAATGAGTTTAATTTTTAATATGGAACGAAAAAATTCCAAACCCTGGTTGAAGTGGCCAAGGATGCTAGCCATTAATGGAATAAAATAAATTACCACATCTTAGATGCTTTTGGCAACCTCTTGTTAAATGAAATGGTCGATAATGATATTTGGAGTAAAAATATCTACATAAAATTTTAAATTAAGATTTCCCCATTTATCCACCTGGATTAGCATCGGACCATTTATGATCCATGATAAAATGGTTTGGGGAAGTGGGTGGGTATGCAATTTGGGAACCCAGTTAGAAAGATAAATATAAAAGAATTACTCAACAACTACCAGAAACCTTCAAAGGGAGATAATGGCCACTCAGTATGACTAGCGAACTACAATTATTACAAGTGTTAGAAAAAAATATAATTGAAAAAATATTCATAACTTTATTTGGATAATTATTGATAAAAGATAAAAATCAATGGTAAATTAATATTATAATTAACAAATAATTTGAATAAAATTTGACTTTCATTTTTTTTCTTTCTTGAAAATAAATGCATGAAATTTCTGTACTCCGGGAATTCATTTGGCTGTTAAAAATCAATTGTCAAAATTGGTTTTCAATGAATTCAAATATTAATTCTCCCATAATTGCAAAATATAATAGGTATGTATTTATGTATGATTATCATAAGGACGTTGCTAGGCCTGCTCTAGCAACTAAAAATTTAAGTAATAACTCTCTAAACTATCTCAAAAGTTTTGCGACACATGTAAAAATCAAATACCATTCTGCTTTTATCCCAAAATCTTTCTCAGGATTGTATAGAATTATAAAATATTTTTTTGTTTTTATACTGGGTAACATCTCCATCAGAATAGTATAAAATAATTAAATGTTTTCCTGCAAGAAATACAAATTTTTTTGATTAGTTAATATACTAGAAAATTAACTTGCTTTATCAGAATAAAACTTCCAGTATCATAGCATATGAATGTGATTTTAATTGAAATGGTGGTTGGAGCACACTACTAGAATTGAAATATTCTTTTTCTCTTGGAGACATTTAAATTATTTTGGTGAAAGATAGAGGTTGTTTATTAGTTTCATAAAATTATGAACAGTTTTTAAAATTAATTAATAAATTGCCTAATGAATACGTAATTCAATTTCGTAGATCTGTGATGTAATATATATGAATAAAAACTATGAAGTTTGATTATGTAATTTTTAATAAGACATTATATCAAATATAAATATTTTGTTTTTATTATCTTAAGAAGATTAAACTTTGAGAGATTTATTTTACCAAAATATATTTATGACTATCACAAAGATTTAATTATCTTACATAAATAAAATTATATTGCACAGAGATACATTTCAAATCTAAAAAGAATTTTTTTTCTGGGGGAAAGATACACTTGGGTGGAATAAAAAGATTAATGGACGTTGACTTACTTTTTATTATCATATTTGTTACTTTATTATTCTTTACAAAATCATTATCATTTATTTTTTATAATTCTTCCAAATTAAGGCTTTTAGGATTTTTTAACAATATAATAATAAGTTTAATTTGGAAAACATTTTTTTGCTTTTTTTATTAGTTAAAATAAAATTTAAAATTGTCTTGGATTTTTAGAATTTTAGTTTTAATTTTATTTTATTGCATAATGGCCACTTTTTAAGAAATAAATATCTATATATTTGGTTATTATTTGTCTAGTTTGTTTTTGTAATGAAAGAAACCGGAAACATATTATAAAATGGTTTTAATTCAAATACCATTTTTCTTAAATATATATTTTAAAAAAAGGTAAAATAAAAAAAATATGACTGGACATGCTGCGAATCATTTCAGGACAGTTAAAAGAGGTAATCAGTAGATGATTTTAAATTGAGAGTATAAAAACCCCATGAAGTCTATATCATGACATATACAATAGTAATAATGATAAAATGTAAAGTAACTACTAATAACATAAAATCTAACACTTACGATATTTTCTACCATTTTTTTAAACAATAAATTATTGGCACTTCTTTGTGATAAATAAATAAGTTAGAAAACACTCAACTATTTAAAAAAACCTGTAATATAGTATTCTTACAAATTTTTGCAGATATATAAGTTAAAAATAAATCAAAGGTTAATGAAATATAAATATCTGAATTTAAATTTTTTAAAAAAAAATAGTTTACCATAGTAATTATTGAGGGGCTTATTATCTAAATGAGTTATGTTTTTAATTAAAAAAAATATATAAGTTTAACCATAATTAATGATTAAAATATTTTTATTATTTTTACTAATAGTGGGGATGAGTAAAATAAGAAAAACAAATTAGTTTTTATTATTGATTATTCTTATAACCTTTTTTAAAATAAATAGAAGGAAAAAAAATAAAAGTAAAATACCACTAAATAATTGGGTTAGAATTATAATAAATCAAATTTTTCACAGTTAAGATAAATATATTATATATGATATGAAAGTTTTATACCTATTTTAACATGTTTAATAGTTTCATCAGACCATGCTTTGCATATCCTAAACTGGAAGCTCAATTTGTATATACCGTTTTGTTTGAAATTGTATTTGAGTGGTAAATTCTTGAACTTATTTTAATATGAAAATAAACTATTATTTAACCCCGGAAATAATAATTCAAATCATAATAAACAAACGATTATTTCCATTATTAAAATTCAAAAAGATTTAATAAGTCAATGAAGTTAAGAGATTTAAATAAAAATTAAAATATCGAATAATATTATTTTTCTTTAAGATAAAAAAAAATAAATAAGACATTTATCATCATTTTTTTTTAAAATATATAATCTTAAATTTTATAATGGAAACATAAATTATGAGAAAATTGAAATGTAGTCAAACAGACCCTTTATTTAAAAAAAGCGCTCTTGGGTGAGTTTTTAAAAAATTCTTGTGTTATAATGTGAGCACTTACACAAAAACCTGATCTCATGATATAGAACAAAATATCATAGTACAAAGAGGTGAAAGCGATACTTTATATTAAATATTTTAATGACAAAATTGTTTTCCCTCTTTCTCTCATATTCATTATAATTTATTATATTAATATTCCCGATTGCAGTAGAATATTACGAATCGAATAGCAAGGTTAATATAATTTGCAAGAAAATTGTAACCCTTAACTGGCTTCAATTTTATAAAATTTATATAAAATCAACACACCAGTTAAAAAAAATAGTAGAAAATATCTGACATTCATTCGTATATCTAAGAGACTTAATTAATTATTTTCAGATAATTTAACTCCTTTCCACAATAGGAAAGTAATAAAAATAATAATAATTATTGAATTTCTTAATTATAGTCATAATTTATTTTGCATTATAATTTCAGTTATTATAAATTATAAATAATATATTGAATGTTTTGTATCAGTAATAATTATTTAAAGGATAATAACTTTCAGTTGTATTATATCTTTTAGATATTTATGGATAAAAATATAATTCGCCATGAGGATATAAATTTTTAACAGGGTAAAAATAAAAGGTGAATGTTGGGGAGAGGGAAATACAGGAAAGGGAATTATAAGCAACGGGTGTGTTGGTACATTATCTAACTGGAGAATGGGTATTCTTATTTTTTAGCATACGGTTTTTTGGTATATATCATAAAATTTATTAGTGAAGTCATGCTATCTAAATTTATTGTATAAATATATATATGTCATGTAAATTTATTGTATAAATATATATATGTCATGTAAATTTATTTATTATTTACTTTTTTAAATTGTTTTAATTTTATAGTTACGTTTGCTTGTTTCGTGATTGTCAATAAATTCATCCTGTATGTTTCGACCATATGATGGCAAGGTAACGAGAAATTGAAACTTACAAGATTTGAAGTCTCTTTGTGATAACTCAACTTTTCTAGGAGAAAGGTTTAAAATATATAATTAATAGTAATAGGGTTTTCCTAAGAATCAAACATTAACTACCTTATTCTAAAATTAAATATTAATATCTTCATGATATAATTTAAATTTTAAGAAAAAATTATCAACATTTCCCGTGCCAGATTTTATTTTCAAATAAGTTTAAAAAAAATAAGATAAATCAGTATATTTTTATCTTAGCAATTAACCAATAAATTTTTGAACGTTTCAATTTTAATTAGAAGCCACATAATATAAGTCATTTTAAGTAACATGTGTGGCTCAGAATTTACAGATCAGATCGAAATGATTTTTTTAAAACTACCTCTTGCACAAAGTTACGGTGAGGTTCATAGTTTAGAGATAGGCGCTAATATTAAATTATATTTTAAAAAAATGTTTAAATATTTAGCTTGTATGATTTTTTTTCTTCAGTAATTTTGGAATGATATTTTTATCCATTTTGGGATAATCGGCAGGAGAAATTTTATCAGAGGGAATTCTTTTACAAGTGACTGAATGGTTAATCAATTAAATTACTGCGAAACTCTCTCAGATACGCGTATAGTAGAAAAAATAGGGATTATCAATAGAATAAAATGAAATCGGAAGTTATCATTATTAATTATATTATAACAAATTTGACTTTAATTCAAAAAATAATAATTAAAGCTAAGAAATAAAAAATTACCAATTTTTTTGTCGGTGTATTCTAAAAATAAATATAAAAAGTATGTTAAAATTTACATGCCTTATTATCAAAAAATAAAAATTTTTAGTGTATGATATTGAGGAATATTAACCCATATATAAATATATTTTAAATTGAATATACAAACGTAAAATTTTATTATTTATAAAGATATGGTACAGACAATGGAGGATTTTAACGACTCTCTCCTTTCCGGTATGACTAAATGTTGGTTGCTAAATTGTCTTGCTAAATTGCCTTGCTCTTGCTAAAAAGCTATTAATCATAATTAATAATAATTTGATTATATAATATTTATTTTTTTTCATTATACCTTTTATTAAGAACTTTATAATATTTAACACATTGAACGTTAAAAGTAAAACATATATATGTAAAAAAAATATATCTTTTAAAAAAAATTTTCAAAAACATTTATTTTACATAAATCAATTTTTAATTAAGTAAAAAATTGATATTAAATATAAAATAATTTAAAATTATAATTGGAAAAAAAATATATTTAATTAAAAATTGATATTAAATATAAAATAATTTAAAATTATAATTGAAAAAAGAAATATTTACTAGCTTATTACAACTTAAATTTATTTTATCAATTACAAAATTTAAAAAATTTATATCCATAAGAGGGCGTTAAATGCATAAATATGAAAATATATTCTTAGGAAACCAGAATAAATATTGGATTACGCCTTTTTTCCTGCCGAGCTCGAAACCGACCACTTACTAAATATTCGATCGACCAAATTTGGTGTTAATATTATTTGGAAAATAATCATTTATGGTTTATTTATCTATATATACGTGTAAATCATTATCACAAAAAATATTTTAAAAATATCGTGATTTGACCGATAACCGATTTGAAACCGAAATACTGCGTTGCTGGCGCTCTCCATGTAAAATTCTTCATTTTTGGTTTATAAGTGAACAATAAGGTGTTAAGCATTATCCTAACTAATTTTTTGTAAATATCAAGATTTGACCGAAAGGCGAGCTCAAAACCGACCACTTACTAAATATTCGATCGACCAAATTTGGTAGTAATATTATTTGGAAAATGTTCATTTTTGGTTAATTTATCTATAAATACGTGCAAATCATTATCCCAAAATATATTTTAAAAATATTGTGATTTGACCGATAACCGATTTGAAACCGAAATACTGCGTTGGGCGCTGTCCATGGAAAATTCTTCATTTTTGGTTATAAGTGAACAATAAGGTGTTAAGCATTATCCTAAATAATTTTTTGAAAATATTGACAAAATGGCGAGCTCAAAACCGACCACACTAAATATTCGATCTACCAAATTTGGTTGTAATATTATTTGGAAAATTTTTGGTTAATTTATCTATAAATACGTGCAAATCATAATCCCAAAATATATTTTAAAAATATCATGATTTGACCGATAACAACATTTTATGACCTCGGCCTGTAAATTTGTATTTCATTACTATGAAAAATTTTCTTTGTATTTTTATAAATTTTGAAAATATGATCCGAAAAAAATTTTAAACCCTCTATTATATGATTTTCCAGTTATTCTTAAGCGTGAGTTTCTAGCAAACTTAAATAAAAATTTAGATGAAAAGGTTATCTTTATGGATGAAAACAAGAATTTTTATAGCAATTTTAATATTTTATAAATCGATCACACCCTCTCACTCATTGTTAGATAGATTTGATGATATATATTATATTTTTTAAATTTTGTCAAACTACTTGATTTATTAATCGTTTCTATAATATTATACAAGATACCCATGTTCTGAGTCAAATGCCCCGGTCCTAAGATCTTATTAAATTAAACATTGACCTTGTCAATTTAAAAGAATGGATTAATAAATATCATTAAATAGTTTCTGTTCGAAAACAAAGGACTATATAACAAATACAAACAATATTATATATATATAAATTATATTTAGCCTCTCTTTAATAAATACTTTTTGTATATTTAATATATTTTTTGGTCATTCTTATATTTTGCATATAGTTATGTTATTCCTTTCAAGCAAATTTATTTTTTATAAACGTAAACATCGTGTTTAATTAGTAAATAAAATATTAAAATCACAAAATATACAAAGATGCTTTCTACAATTTTTATAAAAATAATAAAGATTTATATAAATCACTATTTAATTATTGTCATTAAATTTTATAAAGTTTGTGGCTAAATTTAAATGGAATTCATAATAGAAGGAATGACGCTTTGCAATGCTCTGAATCTATAATTTAGAGCATATCTTCGAAAAATATATGAATGAGTTCTTAAATGGATAATCAAATTATTTGAAAATCGACTTTTTAATTAGAGATTAATTAAAATCAAAACGAGCGAAGAAATTGAATATTTCAATTATCGGGATTCTAATTTACATTTATTTTGATTATAAGTAACTCGATACTAAGAAGACATATTGGCTAGAATCTATACCCTCTCGAGAAGTTCATAGTGATGGGCTTAGAAGTTCTGGCCATGCTTATCCCTATCATATTCGGCTGTAGTCTCTAGGTTCTAAAGCTTTAAAACTTCGCACATAATGTTCATGTAATAGATCATCTTTAATTAATGCTATTTTTTATAAATATCTATTCGCAAATATCGAATATTTTATTTTATTGTTTTCTACTTCGAGTGTAATAAATAGCTGGAATCTTCATCTATAATGATTAGAAAGAAAAAAGATAAGAGAAGGTATAAAAAGTAGCAAAAAGCAAGAGAGAAGAAAAATGTATGAAGAACGAGATGAAATAAAATAAAAGAAAATCTAAAGAAGTAAGACAAAAGAAAATATGTAGTCGGCTTGAGCTCGTCATTCGGTCAAATCTTAATATTTTCAAAAAATTTTTTAGGATAATGCTTAACACCTTATTGTTCACTTATCAACCAAAAATGAAGAATTTTCCATGCAGAGATAAGCAACGCAGTATTTAATCATTTGGACAGTTATCTGTGAAGTCAAGATATTTTTAAAATATTTTTGGGGATAATGATTTACACAAATTAACCAAAAATGAACATTTTCCAAATAATATTACTACCAAATTTGGTCGATCGAATATTTAGTAAGTGGTCGGTTTTGAGCTAGCCATTCGGTCAAATCTTGATATTTTCAAAAAATTAGTTAGAATGCTTAACACCTTATTCTTCACTTATAAACCTTAAATGAAGAATTTTCCATGGATAACGCTAGCAAGGCAGTATTTAGTCATTAGACCGGTTAAATCGGTTATTTGTCAAATCACCATATTTTTAAAATATTTATTGGGATAATGATTTTCTCATATATATTGATAAATAAACCAAATATTATTATTTTCCAAATAATATTAACACCAAATTTGGTCGATCTAATATTTATTAAGTGGTCGGTTTTGAGTTCGGCATTCGTTCAAATTATAATATTTACAAATTATTTTTTAGTATAATGTTTAACACCTAAATATACACGTATAAACCAAAAATGAAGGGATTTTGATCAATAACACCAGCAATATGTTCCTACAAACTTTATACTACTTATTCTAAACCTACTCATTAATTAAATGTCAAAGAAACCTCTATTTTTTAAAAAAATTTTAGGTTTTCACATGTATTTACACCCAAATACAAAAAATGCGCTATCCAATATTTATTCTGGTTTCCTAAAAATATACTTTCATATTAATGCATTTAACACCCTCTTATAGATATAATTTGATCAATTTTGTAATAGAAAAATAAAATTTAAGTTTTAATAAACTAATAAATATATATTTTTTTTCAATTAAGTAAAAATAATATTTTAAATTATTTGATTTTTAATATCAATTTTTTACTTAATTAAAAATTGATTTATATAAAATAAAAAAAATGTTTTTGAAAAATTTTTTTTAAAAGAAATTATATAATCAAATTATGATTGATTATGATTAATTGCTTTTTAGCAAGGCATTTTAGCAAGGCAGTTTAGCAAGACAGTATTTAGTCATACCCCTCTCCTTTCCCATAGAAAATATGATTAAATATTATTTTTTCATATTATACTTTGATATTAATATCTAGACGAAAATTTGGTTGTATTATTTTTTAAATATATTCATCTATAATTTTCTGTATCTAAGAAATCTTCTTAGAAATTTCTTTTATCATTTAAAAATATGTGTAAAAAAAATTTCAAAATATCTAAAAATATATAATAAAGCACATGTGTCCCAAAGATTACATTTTGTATAAGATTTACCTTTAACCATTTTTTATATTTAAGGGTATAGAAAAGCCTTAGATATAAATATAATTTTAATATACATTTGTTCAACCATTATAGATAAAGATAAAAAAGAGTAAGTTACATCTGAATATTTATAACTGTAAAGGTTAAGATATATTTTAAAAGGTCAGGTTATATATTTTAAAGGACGTTATTTGTATATTATATTATAACTTTCCGACATGTAATATTATATTATCGAGGTTAATCAAATTGCATATTATTAGAAGTTAAATTGGATAATTATATAAATGTATATATACAAAAAAACAAATAAAATTAATTATCCTTTTTTAAAACTTTAATCGTTTTAATAGAGTTATTGCAATCTTTTCCAATTTAACGGTAAGGATCCATTTTATTTTTATATCATATATTTTTTCAAAGATACTACAACTCTAATTGACTAGCTTTTTATGTTATTTTAATCCAATTTTGCTAATGCTTTATAATCTGTAATTTGTATATGTCTTAAACTAATTATTGCTTTCAAAAAGCTTTTCAAATTTTATGCTGTGGACTGTGTCTTAATATGGGGTAGAGTATTATAATATTTTATAAAATATTACTTGAATAAAGATATAATGACATTTTAACTATTTCCCTGGTTTTTATTCACCGAAAAGATAAAATGTCGTTAAAAAGTGTATAGTAGTAAGATTCCAAATTTTAAATAAAGTAAAAAAAGAAATTTTAATAAATTTGGCAAATTTTATCTTATTTTTACCAATAATAGAAATTTATCATTGAATATCACAAACGAGTTAAAATACCTAAATCCTTATGCACTAATTACTTATATATTTCAGAGTTAATGCTTATAGAAGTTTGGCTGATTTATCGCTTAAACATAAGTTAACACTAATTATTAACACAAGCTAGATATTTAAAAATTCCATATCCTCCTTCAGCTATGAGGCGAATTTTGCAATTTTCGATATATTTTATCAATAATAGTTTTTTTTAACGATTTACCAAATAGATTGCGAATAATTTTTTTACTCATAATTGTGATTATACTGGTTAAAAAAAATCATGGAAATGAAACACCAAACATATTAGCAATGTTATGATAGATTAATAAAAAGCTTAAAAAAAATAAGAATAATAGAATCAAAAACACCTAATCATTATTTTATATAGGCAGGACCCAACAGAAAGCTAAGCTAATGCAATGCCCTCTAAAATTATTCCGTAATTATCCCCTTCATTTTTTGAATACTGGTTACACTATAGAAGGATATAGTTAAGCCTAGTAAAGCTGAGATAATATATTATTAGATCAAATTTAAAAAATAATATTTTACAATATTATCAACAATTTAAATATGTAATCTCTAGTTGAATTTTAAAAAACAAATAATTAGATTAAATGACGTAACCAAATTTATAGATATTAAATAATTTACTCCTTATTAAACATTAACCCATCCTTGCAAAATATTTTATCAATTTTTTTATAATAAATTTCTCAAAATTATTAAAAATTACCGAATTTCAAATAGGTGTATGCTATTAGAGTCGAATATTTAATGATATGACATATCACATAGAAGTAGATATGATAAGTGTTGAATTGGCATGGAAATCTAAATTTGATTATACCCGTATTATCGACCTTAAAATAAAATCAATTAAGAAAATATATTTTGTTGGTAGATCTTTCTTTCTTTCTATCTTATCTTTAATATTGTAAAATTTTCACCTCTTTCTCGAGTACTAAATTTCCAATGTTAGCAGAGGCCTTCATCATAATAGTATAAGAGTTGTTTTGAACGAGTCTTAGGATCAAAGAATTATTAATCTCGAATGTTTTCAAAAAGCCTTCGTCAAGTATCTTTACATTTACACCTTTTAAAAATTTAATATGTTAAACCATGTTATAAAAAATTTAATCATATTATAATCACTTTTCCGAAATCGTATGTGAAGATTTAGAATATTTCAGCTATACATTTAATCTATGAACTGAATTTCATAATTTGTTTTTCTATTTTTTTAGTTTATATAAAAATTCTATGTTCCGATTAGTTAAAAAGAAATGTCATATTATGAAATATTTATAACTATGAAATATGTAATTTGTTTTTTTTAAATATAATTTTGCATTTTTATTTTAAATTATTTTGATATTTAATATTTAGAAAAATTTCAAATTTAATTTAATCATACATAGTTTACCTATTTTTTTTCACAAACGAGTTTTAAGGGTCCCCAATAAATATCTATTGCTAAATTCTCAATTTTTTTCCTGATAATGAATTTTTTTTATATCACAAAATATTTAGGTTATTAAATCCGATTTTAAAACACCTTTTTATAATATAAAACCAAATAAATTATTTCTTTATTATGTGAATTGAAAATTTTGTGTATGTTTCTATTTTTGTGCGATATAATTTATGATTAAGGAAAACGTTAAAAAATTATCCAGATCTAGTTTTTCCCATATTCTAAAAAATATGATAGGTATTTGTAGTGTGGTTATAAAACCAATTGGGTTTATTATACGACCTGATTAAGATTTTAACTAAAATAATATCATGTAAGCATCGAAATTTTGCTGCTATATGTTCAAGCATTTCTGCCAACTATGAGCAAAATTATTAGGTATATATATATACACAATATTATTTTGGTTACTATCTTAATTCGGCCGTTTTTTCAAATCGAGTCGAATTGGGCTTATTTACAACATTAGGCATATTAGAGTTATAAAGATTTAGAATTACGAAATTTATTGAACTCATACAATAAATAAAATTAATATTTTTTTTAAGAGTAGTTTAAAATACACGGCTACATTTTTTGAAACTTAGAGGGTATTTACTAACTGTAAAAAAAAATCATATCAAGCTTAATATTTCAAGGATCTTACTATATATTTTTTTTAAATAATTCATTAAATATATCAAAATTTGAAGCAAAAGAAAAAATTCTACTATATGTATTATTGTAATGCATGATATGGTTTTTTTCTCGGATACGTGAGAATTTTGAATTTTTAATCTTATGATAAGGCAATTTTTAAATTTTTTAAAAATTAAATTTTTAACGGAAATGTTTTTTTAGTAAATGAAGTATATCTTCTATCCAATGAATTACTGAAAATTTTATCCTTCGAATTCTGAATTAATTTTAAATATTATTTTTATAATATATATGATGTAAAATTTTCAATAAAATTTCATTTTATTCCAGAAAAACTTATAACGACCTTTTATTATATTAGAAATGAATTGATTGTTTAATATAATTTTAGAACACATATTAATTTTACTTTATAAAGGGTATAAGCTGAATTTTATTTTATATAAAAATTTTAAGTCTGATTTCAAGAATAAACTAATAATTATTTGTGTCCCATAGCCATTTCGACAAATTATTTACTTTCATGCAAACACATCTAGAATAGACAAAAAGAAATTATTTATCTACTTTTAAATTTACGAGAGGAGTATGTTACAATACATTTATAATAATAGCGTGTTCATATAAATACTTTGTAGTCCGTCAAACTTTATTCTCCATTCTGATTCCCCATGGCATGCCGATAAAATCATGTATAGACTTATTGCTAAAACATATTTTCTCCCATAATCATGATTGAATAATATATTCCCCATAATATATGTTTTTAAATTTAAAAATAAATTTTTCAAATATGTTTGTAATATTTCTCCTTTTTTATAAATTTAGATAAATAATATATATTAATATTCATTTTTAACAAAAACATAAAAATATTATTATTTTAAAGATTTCAAATATTTTATTTTTTCGTAGAGAAACTCCTAATTTGAGAGCAGAGCATAAAATACGTGAACAACGATTTTTTTACATTTTATTCTGTTTAAATTCATATATAATAAATTAAAATATTTAAAAAATGTAACATTTTTACCGTTTTTTCCAAAAAGAAAATATTTATTTTCTATTTTTTTTACAGAGAATAATCAAATCTGTCTAATTTGAGCTCATGATAACCTTAAAATCCTTAATTTTACCAAAATTATGAGTCTCAATCAAATTCTTATAATTACAACTAAAAACAAAACTCTTATAAATTGCTAAAATTTCTAAAAGCGGTCAGATTTTTAATTTTACCCATTTGTATAGATCTCTATAAAATGGACACTATTACTAGAATTATTTTGATGTTCGATTTGGTAAAATATTTTTTGTCCAAAATAAAAATAAACCTTCATCCCTTCTAGTAAAAAATTCTATATTATTTAATCTCAACAAATTTTTTATAATATATATAATATTAATTATTCTAACAGCTATAGCCTAAAATATATTCATTTAAAAAATAAATTGAACTCATATTTATTTATCTGTAAAAGGTTAATTATTTCTTTTAACCTTTCAACCTATCAATAAATACATATATATATATAATTAAAAAAATATTTTGATTTGAAAGTGATAAAAACGTAGGCGAAAAATTTTAATTTTATAAATTTTAAAACAAGCCTTTGAAGAAATACAATGGTTTCTCAATTATAATTGATAATTCTTGACGATTAATGGAAAAATAATCGACCTTTACAGGGCTTATATTGATTGCAGTGTTATAAAAATATATTATATGATATTTAAAATGTAGTTTTGAAAAGGGAATTCATATATCAGAAATAGCATAAATTTATTTAGGGTGCTAAAATTAATGTAAAATAACTATAACAAATTATTATTTATTATCAAAGGCAGAGCCAAAATATTGTTGACTTTATTTTCTTTCATATTGCATAAAATAATATATTGTATACATTTGGAGAGGTGTGTTACGTATTATTTTATAAGCTTAAGATGATATTTCAAAAGCGAGATAATTTCCGAAAGTAAGGGGTTCCCCTAGGTTGGATCTGGCAAAAGTAAGTTTTTATATCATTCGGCAATGGAAGGGATGGGTATTTTATTTTGAACTTAAAGAAAGTTTTAACCAACCTCTTTTTATACTTTAATATTATGAGTTAATTTTTTTTCCTCTAAATTTGACATAAGTTATCTTAGCATAATTTTGAAATAAATATCTTATAAGATTTATTTTATTTATGATATGTCAAAATAAGAAATATAAAATAAAAATAAATCGACTCTAAATACAGTCAGTCAGCCTCAAGTTTTTACATCATTTTTTAACCAGACTACAGCTTTAATAGTAATTATAAAAAATAATTATTTTTTAACCTTTGAGACTTGATAGAAACTAAAATCTATTAACATGAAAATCCGTTATTAAGGACTTTACTTGGGACTTATCTTTCACATGGAAAAAAAATCGAAACCATTGGTGCTTTTTTGGCAACCCAGCTAAAAAATATAAAGTTTTATTATATTTTTCTTTGTAAATAGATTTTTATCTGCATTTAAAATTAATATGAGTAAATTAGTCCTAAACCTCTAGGCCATTCACTCATATTCTTACCTTTTCCTCAAGCTGCAGAAAGTACAGAGTTTTGTAAAAAAATTATTTATTCCCTAAAATCTTCAAATAATTTATGCCAATATTTTAATAAAACAATTTGAAAATATAGAATTCTGATATTTTCTTAGTTAAAAAAAGTCTAGACAAACCATTGGTTTTTAATTACCAAATCTACAAATACTTAATTTTATTTTTTAATGTAATATTTTAATATAATAAATTTATAAATAAAATTTATTTTATATATTTTGAAATTGTTGACACTAACGAGACAATACATCATCAAAGATTCATAATTAAGTAATATTTTAATATAAATCATAGGCGAAATCATGATTTTGCTAAGTAGGAGGAAAGCACTATTAGGTGGAGTTCCCCTCTCAATAATTTAGGAGCCACAAATTTATCACAACATAAACCTATTCAAAACAAAGACGATATTTATGACACAAAAAAGGTTCATAACCAGGAACCTATAGATGAGTTGGGGAAGGTCAAAAGTTTATTTTGGACAAAATAAGATATTAGGAATAAATTCATTAACCAACCAAATATAATATATGTTGTTGATAATAAATAAGCTTTCCATAAATAAGACAAAGGGCAATTCTACATACAGTACAAATGGATGTGGAACAGACCGCTTATCTTATCAACATCTTTTCTAACATATAATACAGGTAAACCTTCATCGAATTGGGAATCATCAGTTTAACAAGTGGTGATACAATTAAAGATTTTTTTAAGCATATGATTCTAGTCATAGGAATGCAGCATCTATCGATCAAAAAGTATTACCTAACAAGTAGTGCCCTCCTCCTAACACAAATTTCTATTAATAATTAAAACTAAAAAAAATCACGTTTATTCAGAATTGGAACCAGACTTATTGCTTTACAGAAACCAAACAAAGACATCCGCCCAATAGGATTTGTTAAAAAGTCGACTTATCGCCAAAATTCATTCATTTCGAATCGTCACAATTTTAAATTATCTTTCAAGGAGAACTAACACTTTTATATACACCTGCAGACTAATTCAGTGCCATCTGTGTCTTATTCCATTCTACTCTTTATATCCTTCTTAAGATTAATTACCTTACTCACCTGATTTTCTCGTCATTTTCCTCCTAAAACACTTCTTTCGCCCTTCATCGTTTGTACCTCATCAACTCCCATATTTAGATTTCCCATCCCTATTAGGATTTATAAAAAAAAAATTAAAGATCTAACTGAAATATCTTGAATAAAATTAAATTAAACTGTATGAGCTCAGGCTTCATTACTAAATACAAATGGTAGTATGGAGTAAGATCTCATATCGATCCTGCTCTCACTACCTATATTTTGTAAGTCTATTTTTCAAACCCATTATCAATACTAATCTCAATAAAATAATTATTTCTTTTAAGACGCAATTAGAAAACTTGTATCGTTGATGTTTCCCGTAAACGCAATTAAGATGATTGAGATTATTTCTAGCTCTCTGAGTTTTATATGATCTAGCATGCTAAACCGAAGGATTCATCTTCCCTTATTTTCAATCTTTAGAACTCATTAACAAGATCCCATCTGCAATATTGAAATTTGTCTTAATTGTAGGAAAAATTGTCATCACATTTGCTCTTGCGGCGGCAGAACTTCTAAAGAGATCAAAGAAAGAGACAGTTTACAATGCAAACTGACTAAAGTCGAATCCTAAGGCATAACCATTTTTATTTTCTTTATCAGATAGGGATTAATGGAAGCAGCTTGATCTCATGGAAAGGAATCAATTTTTTGTTGAGAAGATCACCGCTCAAAATTGTCAAATATCTGGGAATCTAAAAAGATCGTGATTTCATTCCAATTTTATCTACTACATACAATAAAACTTGTTTTATATTTTTCAACGCACTGGCAAGACTTGAGACGGCTTTTTTCTATGAGGTACTGGCTCTATACATTCTCAAAGCGAACTACATTAGCTAAAACGGCAGTCTTTTTTCTAAAGAGCTTTCTTAAATTTATCTTACTTATTTTTTTCCCCCTTTTATGCTTTCCTTTTTTTTTTAGATGGAACTAATTTTATACAGTTACAGTTAATACCTATATTTTAATAGTTGATTTGTTTATTCACAATGATAAATATTTTCTAAAATAAGGTAATTTTTAAATTAGAATATAATCATTCCATTTTTACAGAAATATATCCTGATTATTTTTTTATGACTTCATTGATTTTTAAAAACTCTTAATTTCTATCTTATACAACGAGATTCATTTATGATGGGATAATTTGATCGTTTTTATTCTGGTAAAATGCTCAAATAACAAAATGTAAAAAAAATGAATTAAAAAATATCGCATCCAGGTTTTATACATCACATCTCTAAACTGCCAGTGATGGTCATTTTTTTATTATGAGGTAAAGCAATCAAAGGGATATCGTTGGGGTATATCCAAATTTTTCTGCATAATATATTAATCAAAGACAAGTAAAAGCTTTTTATTTATTGTAAGGAAGAAGGGGTCATATTAAAAGAATAAATCCGATTTTTTTTTACTTCCAGAGCAAGTATATAAAGAGAATTTCGTAGAAGAATGAGTTGTTTAGCTATCTCTAAATAATAGAAAGGTAGCAAGGCGAACTATTGTAGTAAGATTGCTGCTATTTTATATATTTGCATATTAAGTATCTTAATTTAAAAGGGAAATAACTATATTATAATTTTAAGAATTTTTTTATTAAAAAATATAATTTAAATAAAGAATAAGAACCGATGAATGATTTTTTTCAGGAAGATTTTATTTACAATATATAAACAGAATTTATTTACAATATATAAACAGAATTTATTTACATTATGTATATTATATTAAAATTGTATGGATAATTTAATATACAAACAATATAAAACGTTTGATAAACTTAAATCCAAAATAAAAAATTACTCAAATTAATTAGAAAATGGTTATCAAATTTTAAAAAATATTACTACCACTATTTTTTCCAATATGGTAGGCGGGAAAGAATTTCAAGCAGGTATTTATTTTAAACTTTAATTTATAAAATTAACACATCACATTAAAAAATTATAAAAAATATTTATATATTTTGATAGCAGTAAAATATGTAATGATTTTGATAAATTTTCCAGTAATATAAAATGGATTAATATATGAAT